TTCAATGCGGATCAGAAGGACTTCCTGGCATCTATTAGATACAATATGTTCTGCAAGAAAGTTGCGAGAGCTAAGACGTTCGTCACGCCACAACCACTCCCACCAACGGCCTTTGCCTGTAAATTTCATTCTTTATGGACTAAATACCAGGTTATGGAGTGGATGGTATGTAGTAATGAAATGGTGTTATCTGAGTGGGGGTGGAAGGTGAAAGGGGACAAACTTGTTCCAGTGATGACGGACAATAGCCCTGCTCCAAATGCACTGATTAAGATAATTCATTGCAACTGTTCGGAAGGATGCAATACCCTAAGACAGGGGTCTCAAACCGCTTCAAGAAAGGGCCATGTGGGTGCAGGTTTTGCTTCCAACAGCTCCAAACTGAGTAGGAGCACAGATGACTCCACCCATTTCCTCAAATCTTCAGGTTACTCACCTGACTCACCTGAGGAAATGGGTGGAGTCATCTGTGCTCCTGCTCAGTTTGGAGCTGTTGGAACTAAAACTTGCACCCACATGGCTCTTTCTGGAACCGGTTTGAGACCCCTGCCCTAGGGTATACCTGCAGGAGGCATAGACTAGAATGTACCAGTGCATGTGGGCATTGCCAAGATGGAAATTGTGACAATATGAAAAATGATCCAGTGATAGATGAGGATGAGGTGTTGAAAGTTTTGAAAAAGTACTGTGCCGTGAGTGTGGGTGCAACAAGGTTAATGGGGGTTGGAGTACCCCTTGATGTGGTATAAGGGTTTATTTGGCATCACTGGTAATCCTTCCATGTGAAAGATTGACCCTGAAAACCTGGATGAAAATACAAATTTTTGATTTATCATGAAAACTGACCGAGTTAGTGCTTCACACGTAAATGGAAAATGACTTGTAAACCGAAATAGTCATCTCCAAATTTTGACACTTTCCCATACTCCGATTTTGTCCAACTTTTATTATGTTATAGACTAGACCCAGTCTAACATAAAACCACCAAAAATAAAAATGTTGCAATTTTTTTGGGTCAATTAGTATATTGACCCTACTAAATAAACAATCAAAGATACTACTGGGGTTAGGGTAGGGTAAGTATGTGTGTGTGTGTGTGTGTGTGTGCGTGCGTGCTTGTGTAAGTGTTTGAGCTTGTGGGAGATATAAAGCTGAGAAAGGTAGAAGTATATGAGTAGTAGCAGGAATGGTTACTATAGGGTGTGTGATTTAAATAGGTGAAGTGGTCTGACATATTACAGCCCAACAATGTGTAGTTATGCATATCTCACATGCAATATATATACACATACAGTGTAAGTATTCGGCCCCCTTGAACCTTTCAACATTTCGCCACATTTCAGGCTTCAAACATAAAGATATAAAAATTACATTTTTTGTCATGAATCAACAACAAGTGGGACACAATCGTGAAGTGGAACGAAATTTATTGGATAATTTAAACTTTTTTAACAAATACAAAACTGAAAAGTGGGGCGTGCAATATTATTTGGCCCCTTTACTTTCAGTGCAGCAAACTCACTCCAGAAGTTCAGTGAGGATCTTTGAATGATCCAATGTTGCCCTAAATGACTGATGATGATAAATAGAATGCACCTGTGTGTAATCAAGTCTCCGTATAAATGCACCTGCTCTTTGATAGTCTCAGGGTTCTGTTTAAAGCGCAGAGAGAACCATGAAGACAAAGGAACACACCAGGCAGGTCCGAGATACTGTTGTGGAGAAGTTTAAAACCGGATTTGGATACAAAAAGATTTCCCAAGCTTTAAACATCTCAAGGAGCACTGTGCAAGCAATTATATTGAAATGGAAGGAGTATCAGACCACTGCAAATCTACCAAGACCCGGCCGTCCCTCCAAACTTTCATCTCAAACAAGGAGAAGACTGATCAGAGATGCAGCCAAGAGGCCCATGATCACTCTGGATGAACTGCAGATAACTACAGCTGAGTTGGGAGAGTCTGTCCATAGGACAACAATCAGTCGTGCACTGCACAAATCTGGCCTTTATGGAAGAGTGGCAAGAAGAAAGCCATTTCTCAAAGATATCCATAAAAAGTCTCGTTTAAAGTTTGCCACAAGCCACCTGGGAGACACGCCAAACATGTGGAAGAAGGTGCTCTGGTCAGATGAAACCAAAATCTAACTTTTTGGTCACAATGCAAAACGATATCTTTGGCGTAAAAGCAACACAGCTCATCACCCTGAACACACCATCCCCACTGTCAAACATGGTGGTGGCAGCATCATGCTTTGGGCCTGCTTTTCTTCAGCAGGGACAGGGAAGATGGCTAAAATTGATGGGAAGATGGATGGAGCCAAATACAGGGGGCGCAAGGGGGCCGAATAATATTGCACGCCCCACCATTCAGTTTTTGTTTTGTTAAAAAGTTTAAATTATCCAATACATTTTGTTCCACTTCACGATTGTGTCCCACTTGTTGTTGATTCTTGACAAAAAAAAACATTTTTATATCTTTATGTTTGAAGCCTGAAATGTTGAAAGGTTCAAGGGGGCCGAATACTTTCGCAAGGCACTGTATATATACATACAGATATATACAAACATGTACACCTACATATACTCTTTCACATATATAGACCAGGAAGCAATAACAATGGCAATCAAACGGCAACTAACAATAAAGAAACATTGTATGTCACTCTCATTCTCGCACTTCCGGGTTGCAGGACGTAAACAGAGCTCCCGTGGCTTCTACTTAACTTTTTAAGTTTTTGCGTCTTTTTACTACCTTTCCTGAAGAAGATCAACAATCAAAGAGAACATTATCAAGTTCGACATTAGTAAAGAGGATTATTGCTCCCAGCAAGGTGTTTGTTTTTGTTTTGTTTTTTTCCGCGGACCCACGGAGCCTAAGCTCGCCGCTCGCCAACAGTGAATCCGCGGAAGAGAACCCAAAACACAGACTGACGCCGGAGGGACAAGAGATTTCATTACTAATCCAGCACCATGACTGCCAAAGAGGTAAAGAAGGACATTGAAGAACTAAAAGCCTCAATGAACATGATGGGTGAGCAATTGAACATTATTGCTGAACAACAAGGGACTATTGTGGGCTTAGTGAAGGAAATTCACGAGCTAAAAAACCTCAGCCAGGAGCAACAAAACAAAATCAACTTTCTGGAGTCACGAGTGGCAGACTTGGAACAATATACGCGAATGAACGATGTAATTATTACTGGTCTGCCACTCAAACCACCATCATATGATCACGCGCTGAAGGGGGCGCAGAAAGAAGAAAACGAGGAGCAAAATGCTTCAATAGAAGCCCAGGTGACTAGATATCTTCAGAATAAGGACATTTATGTAAATAGAGATGGTATTGAAGCATGTCACACTCTGCGGTCTCAAAATCCTAACGTAAAGTCAGTTGTTATTGTAAGATTTGTAAATAGAAAGGACAGAAGGGAATTACTGAGCCAAGTGTGATAGGTCGCTGCTATAGAGAACTATTTGGGACTTATGGCCCCTCTTTGTTTGAGTTACCAGCCATTGCACAAGCCCCAGGCCCGGTTGTTGAGGCCCTTCAAAAGTACCACCAGGCTGAAGCTTGTGAAGCGGAGTCCGCTACTGGCACCGTTAGAGTCCGGGGTCCGCGGGCCGTGCGGATACCAGGGGGTACCATGAAACTTGTCGCCAGCACCTGCCCTGAGCAGTTGTCTGGCAGAGCTGTTCTTTTCGAGCCACCAGACTCCGGTCTTCCAGCTGGGTTGCTCGTCTCCCCGTGCTTGTTGCAAGTTGTGGGGGGTACGGCCTATATCCAGCACGGTGGGCAGCACGGTGGGCAGCACGGTGGCTGAGTGGATAGCACTCTCGCCTCTCAGCAAGAAGGTCCTGGGTTCAAATCCCGGTTGGACCAGGGCCTTTCTGAGTGGAGTTTGCATGTTCTCCCCGTGTCTGCGTAGGTTTCCTCCGGGTGCTCCGGTTTCCCCTACCACTAAAAATATGTACAATAGGTCTGGCATGTGCCTCCTGTTCTGGCACCCCCACTCCCAAAAATAACAATTGTAAACCGCTTTGAGACTCCGATGTGCAGTGAAAAGGCGGTATATAAATAAAGATTACTACTTACTATCCCTGTGGTCAATGTGGGCAAGGCCGATGCCCTTGTACCCTCGGACTGGTCTGGGAGCCTTAAGCAAGGCCGAGGTAGTGAGCCTCCCTGCATGGGCACCAGGGCATTGACCGAACCCTTGACTTGGTGCGCCAGCGGTGTTACTGGCCTCGAATGTCGACCGATGTTAAGCAGTGGGTACAGCAGTGTGTGAGGTGCCAAATGGCCAAGGATTCTGCCCCGGTGCCTCATAGCTATATGGGCCATCTGCTCGCTTCACAACCAAATGAAGTTCTGGCCCTCGACTTCACCGTGCTCGAGCCAACCCGTAATGGGATTGAGAACGTGTTGGTCCTGACGGATGTCTTTACGAAATATACTATCGCCGTACCCACGAGGGATCAACGAGCCCAGAAGGTCGCCCGGGTGATCACCCAGGAATGGTTCTACAAGTAACAAACAAACCGCCGACAAACTAAAACTAAGGGGGGTTGGAATGTAGCATGTTGGTGTGGCTGCCTTCAAGGTGCGCCGTGGGCGTCACCAACATAGCTTTTAAATTCAGACGCGCGCATGGCACACGCGTATCTGTCTTTTTGGCATTGTGACAGCGTCTTGTTGTGCTGCCGCCGGACCGGGTCGGGGCTACATGGTCCCTGACCTCCGTGCACCTCAGGCTTATTCACTCAGGTCAGTGCGTTCCCTTGCTTTCCTTGCCATGTTCTGTGGAAGGTTCTAACACAGCGCGTCTCTTGCACAGGTTTGTGTCGGTCTGCCGTGAGCGACCGGGCTGTCTCCCCCCCCCCCTCGGGCGGAGTGTAGGCTGTAGCCGCGCGGTGCGTGTCTGGGATTTCACCCCCCTGGTAAGTGCATTTTGACCGGGCCCTCTTGGGATCTTTTACTGTGCTGCATCATCCTGACTCTATGCTGGATTTAGATTGTGAGCAGTGTGGGAGCGCGCGTATCACTTCTCGTCCCTTCCCCTCTGCCTGCCCCTCGTGTGCGTACGCAGAGTGCACGCTTAAAGGCGCGGCACAGGTTTGGGGTCTTCCCCGGGTAAGTGCCCTCTGTGTCTGACTTCTGTTGGGTCTTGGACCATGCTGATCTCAAATTTACTTTAGATCCTGAGCTGCGTGGGAACGTGCACCTTCCGCCGTGCCTATTCCCCTCCTCTTGCTCCATATTATGTAACAACTTCGTCCTGTTTATTTTAGGAACGAGGCGTGTGGCTTACGGCTGTCTTTCAGGCCGCCCCCCTGTGAGGGAGGGCCGTTGTTTTGTCCTCTCTTCATTTATTTTAGTTACTTTATGTATACAATTACAAAGGACAATTTCAGGCACCTATGACGCCTGGTGTGGCACTTGTTCAAATGCACTAAAGCACAACTCACTTTACAGGCTGCAGTTTGCAGTGAGTTTCGCTGCTTTGTATGTTGTTTTCGCATGTTCCTTTATTTATTTTAGTTTGCTTTGCTTATTATTCATTACAGTGTTTTGACCTGGTTTGCTTTGCATGATTTTGATTTGGTTATTGTTTGTATTGTGTATATTCTGTTTGTCCATCCATCCATCCATCCATCTTCTTCCCCTTAATCCATTTCTGGGTCGGGGGGGTGGCCAGAGATGCCACCCAGTTCACAGAGCACCAGCCCCTCACTGTAAATAGAAAGGACAGAAGGGAATTACTGAGCCAAGTGTGATAGGTCGCTGCTATAGAGAACTATTTGGGACTTATGGCCCCTCTTTGTTTGAGTTACCAGCCATTGCACAAGCCCCAGGCCCGGTTGTTGAGGCCCTTCAAAAGTACCACCAGGCTGAAGCTTGTGAAGCGGAGTCCGCTACTGGCACCGTTAGAGTCCGGGGTCCGCGGGCCGTGCGGATACCAGGGGGTACCATGAAACTTGTCGCCAGCACCTGCCCTGAGCAGTTGTCTGGCAGAGCTGTTCTTTTCGAGCCACCAGACTCCGGTCTTCCAGCTGGGTTGCTCGTCTCCCCGTGCTTGTTGCAAGTTGTGGGGGGTACGGCCTATATCCCTGTGGTCAATGTGGGCAAGGCCGATGCCCTTGTACCCTCGGACTGGTCTGGGAGCCTTAAGCAAGGCCGAGGTAGTGAGCCTCCCTGCAGGGGTCATGGAGGTGGACACAGTCACAGCCACAGTGTCCTCCCAGGCAGCAGCGGGGATCGAACCGTACAGAGTGAAGGCCGTGGACTTGTTGGCACTGGCTCCCGGGGAACAGAATGAGGTTAGGGCCTTACTGCAGAGATACCGGACGGTGTTTGCTGCTCATGACGGGGACCTTGGGTGCACTGGCTTGATCACCCACGAGATCCCCTTGCTGGACCACGTGCCTATTCGGCAACGCTACAGGCGCATTCCACCTTCGGAGTATGAGGCGGTTAAGGCCCATATCAACCAGCTCCTCGAGGCGCAGGTAATCAGGGAAAGTTGCAGTCCTTATGCCTCCCCCATAGTCCTGGTTCGTAAGAAGGATGGTAGCCTTCGCCTCTGCGTGGACTACCGCCTTCTGAACGCCAGGACCAGGAAGGATGCCTTTCCCCTACCTCGCATTGAGGAGAGCCTGGACGCGTTGTCGGGTGTCCGCTGGTTTTCAACCCTCGATTTGGCCAGCGGGTAAAATCAGGTCCCAATGGCGGAACAGGACAAGGAAAAAACTGCCTTTTGCACCCCGTTTGGCCTCTTCGAGTTCAATCAAATGCCATTCGGGTTGTGCAATGCTCCAAGTACCTTCCAGCGCTTGATGCAGAGATTGTTTGTGGACCAACAGTGTCAGTCGCTTTTGTTATATCTCGATGACATTGTTGTGTTTTCATCCTCCGTATCCCAGCACGTGGAGAGGCTGGATCTTGTCTTGGGCCGTCTCCAACACGAAGGCTTAAAGGCCAAACTGGAAAAATGTTCCTTTTTCCAACCGAAGGTCAAATACTTGGGGCATGTCATCTCTCAAGATGGTGTCTCTACGGACCCTTCTAAGATCGAGGCTGTAGCGGAGTGGAAGCGCCCTCAGCACGTTACCGAGCTGCGATCCTTCCTCGGTTTTGCCAGCTATTATCGGCGCTTCGTGGAAGGGTTTGCCAAAGTGGCCGCACCACTCCACAAGCTAGTGGCGGCAATTGGTGGGACCAAAACCAAAAGAGGGTCTGGACAACCTCTGGGTGAGTTATGGACCCAACAGTGCGAGGCCAGTTTTGAGAACCTTAAGGCAAAGTTGGCCTCAGCCCCTGTGCTTGCATATGCAGACTTTTCCAAGCCTTTTGTCTTGGAAACTGATGCGAGCTTCAGCGGGCTTGGCGCAGTACTTTTGCAAGAGACTGAGAATGGCCTGCGGCCTGTCGCCTATGCGAGCCGTGGTTTGCGGCCCACTGAGCGCAATATGACCAATTACAGTTCTATGAAGTTGGAACTGCTTGCGCTCAAGTGGGCCCTGACCGAAAAGTTTCGGGAGTACTTGCTTGGGCATAAGTGCGTGATTTTTACCGATAATAATCCGCTGAGCTACCTGCAAACCGCTAAGCTGGGAGCCCTGGAGCACCGGTGGGCTGCCCAACTTGCTGCCTTTGACTTCGAGATCAAGTACAGGTCTGGACGCAGCAATGGCAATGCAGATGCTCTGTCCAGGCAGTACTGGACATCGGCTGACATGACAGCAGGCGTACTGCCTGGCAGCACAGTCCCACTGGCGCTTCAACAAGCAGCGGGGCCACTGGTGGGCACCCAGTCCTTGATGGCAGTCTTCCCTAGCCGCTCTAGTGCGGATATGGGTGCGCTGCAAGAGACCGACCTTTGTCTGGGGGAGTTCCTTACCTTTTGGAGAAGGCAAGCGCGGCCAAATCAGGACGAGCGCGGCCGCCTTTCGAAGCCCACCTTAATCCTTCTCCAGCAGTGGGACCGGTTGGTTGAGGAGGAAGGAGTACTCTACCGCCGGGTCTTTCGACCGGATGGTCAAGAAGGTTTTCTCCAGCTCCTCTTGCCAGCAGCCCTAAGGGAACAGACTCTTGAACAACTCCATCAGGAACATGGGCACCAGGGCATTGACCGAACCCTTGACTTGGTGCGCCAGCGGTGTTACTGGCCTCGAATGTCGACCGATGTTAAGCAGTGGGTACAGCAGTGTGTGAGGTGCCAAATGGCCAAGGATTCTGCCCCGGTGCCTCATAGCTATATGGGCCATCTGCTCGCTTCACAACCAAATGAAGTTCTGGCCCTCGACTTCACCGTGCTCGAGCCAACCCGTAATGGGATTGAGAACGTGTTGGTCCTGACGGATGTCTTTACGAAATATACTATCGCCGTACCCACGAGGGATCAACGAGCCCAGACGGTCGCCCGGGTGATCACCCAGGAATGGTTCTACAGTAACAAACAAAGTAACAAACAAACCGCCGACAAACTAAGGGGGGTTGGAATGTAGCATGTTGGTGTGGCTGCCTTCAAGGTGCGCCGTGGGCGTCACCAACATAGCTTTTAAATTCAGACGCGCGCATGGCACACGCGTATCTGTCTTTTTGGCATTGTGACAGCGTCTTGTTGTGCTGCCGCCGGACCGGGTCGGGGCTACATGGTCCCTGACCTCCGTGCACCTCAGGCTTATTCACTCAGGTCAGTGCGTTCCCTTGCTTTCCTTGCCATGTTCTGTGGAAGGTTCTAACACAGCGCGTCTCTTGCACAGGTTTGTGTCGGTCTGCCGTGAGCGACCGGGCTGTCTCCCCCCCCCCCCCCCCCTCGGGCGGAGTGTAGGCTGTAGCCGCGCGGTGCGTGTCTGGGATTTCCCCCCCCTGGTAAGTGCATTTTGACCGGGCCCTCTTGGGATCTTTTACTGTGCTGCATCATCCTGACTCTATGCTGGATTTAGATTGTGAGCAGTGTGGGAGCGCGCGTATCACTTCTCGTCCCTTCCCCTCTGCCTGCCCCTCGTGTGCGTACGCAGAGTGCACGCTTAAAGGCGCGGCACAGGTTTGGGGTCTTCCCCGGGTAAGTGCCCTCTGTGTCTGACTTCTGTTGGGTCTTGGACCATGCTGATCTCAAATTTACTTTAGATCCTGAGCTGCGTGGGAACGTGCACCTTCCGCCGTGCCTATTCCCCTCCTCTTGCTCCATATTATGTAACAACTTCGTCCTGTTTATTTTAGGAACGAGAAGTGTGGCTTACCGCTGTCTTTCAGGCCGCCCCCCTGTGAGGGAGGGCCGTTGTTTTGTCCTCTCTTCATTTATTTTAGTTACTTTATGTATACAATTACAAAGGACAATTTCAGGCACCTCTGACGCCTGGTGTGGCACTTGTTCAAATGCACTAAAGCACAACTCACTTTACAGGCTGCAGTTTGCAGTGAGTTTCGCTGCCTTGTATGTTGTTTTCGCATGTTCCTTTATTTATTTTAGTTTGCTTTGCTTATTATTCATTACAGTGTTTTGACCTGGTTTGCTTTGCATGATTTTGATTTGGTTATTGTTTGTATTGTGTATATTCTGTTTGTCCATCCATCCATCCATCTTCTTCCCCTTAATCCATTTCTGGGTCGGGGGGGTGGCCAGAGCTGCACCCAGTTCACAGAGCACCAGCCCCTCACTGATCCTCCTGCAGGTGGTGAGTCCACAGGAGCTGAGATCTTTCAGTGGGGGCTTCAGGCAAAGTGGGGTTAAGTGTCTTGCCTAAGGACACAACGACAGCAGTCATCAGTGGGAGTCGTGAAGTAGGTCTTACGGTGGGCTTGAACCCACGACCTTCAGGCTCAAAGGCCAATGCTCTACCAACTGAGCTACTGTCGCCCCTATTCTGTTTGTGTGCAACTTATTTCCCTGCTACTGTTTGCCTTTAAGTTAATTGGTTGCTTTTGACTTTTGCTCTGTCCCGAAATCAGTGTCAATTTGAATGTGCCAATTTATAGATTTTATCTTTTATACATCTAGGCCTATTTTAACCAGTTGCTGAAATAAAGGAATTTCTAGTTTATTAACACTCCTCTCTTTAATGTCCAACCTAGCGCGGTATTATTCTGTGGGTAAATCAAGAGTGATTCTGGTCCCAGGGCCCTACTCCCTGGGTGGCGTTGTTGGTATTTCTAAAATCTCTAAAACTGCTCCTGCCACACAAGGAAGAAATCTAAAAGGAACAAAAGTATATATAAATGAACATGTCACAAAAGCAAACGCCGAAATAGCTAAAAAAGCAAGGTTTCTTAAAAAGGTAAAATCATGGCTCATGGACCTCTAACTGTAAAGTCTACATGGACCTCTAACTGTAAAGTCTATATTAAGACAAACGGCACACCAGAGGAGGCCAGAGTTATTTACATCAGAAGAGCTGAGCAGCTAGAAAGATTGTGTGAATGAAGTTTCTTTGTTATTTTCTTCTTGTTATGAGTAATGATTAAACTAACACCTGGATTTCATAGATTTGGAATTCACTGAACACAACATGGAACAAGACAAAATGTATGATATTGATATAAATATGGAGCAACATAAAAAATACTTGTGAATACTACACTGAGGACGTGGTTAATCAGAAAATAACAGACAATACTTTATCCATTATACATGTAAACAGTCACAGCATGTACAATAAACTTTCTAAAATCAAGGACTATTTAAGTGAGTTTAAAAATGAATATGAAGCTCTTCGCGAAAGTTCACTGTGGTAGACCCGGCCGCTGCTTGCCCAGATCTGTCAAACACCCAGTCTCCAACTCGAACAGGCAGCTCCTGTGCACAAAATGGTTGACTCGGGGACATTATTTGTTTCTTGACACGCTCTAGTCAATAATGTTTTTTCTCATATAGTCAGCCAACGTAGGATTATCATCAGGAGAGAACTGCTTATTTGGCTGTAAATCTGGAAGTGTGTATGACCTACCATATAATATTTCAAATGGTGTCAATGCACTACCCTGAGTAGGTGTTATATGCATGCTTAACTGTACCAAGTCTATGCATTCAGGCCATTGTCTGTTTGTTTCCTCCATGCATTTCCTCAATTTAGCTTTAATAGTGCCGTTATTTCTTTCAACTAAACCTGCACTTTGTGGATGGTAGCTACAATGTCTTTTTAGATTTATGTTGAGATTTTGTCCCACCTTATCAATCACATCATTTACAAAATGTGTTCCATTGTCACTCCTGATAACTCTGGGAATCGAAAATGTTGGCACAATTCTTTTACATATTGCTTTAGCCACTGTTAGAGCGTCCGGAGAGTGACAAGGAAACAATTCTACCCATTTGGAAAATGCATCAATAATCACGAGGCAATATTCCAAATTATTCACTTTATTTAACTGGATAAAGTCCATGTGGATTTCTTCAAAAGGATGTGTGGGTTTAGGAAATACCCCCCTTTTTGGTCTCATATTTCCTTGTGAATTGTGTTTTATACAGATTACACACTGATTACAAAAATGTTTTGAGTATAAATTGTACCCATATGTTGTGTAATATCTATTCACCAATCCACACATACTTGCAGAAGAAACATGGGTTACTCCATGGCTCACTAAAGCCGCCCATTTAAACATCGATTTAGGTAGAACTGGCTTATCGTTTGGACCCATGTACAAACTCCCATTGAATATAGCTCCCTCTTTAAGCCATTTCTCTTTTTCTGCTTTTGGCGCTTGTTGCTGCATTTCTTTTAAAAGATCGTCAGAATCTTGTGTTTCTTCACTAAGCAGTAATCCTGTTACTTCTTTTGCAGCTTTATCAGCTGTGTCATTTCCTGTTGACACTTTGTCTGTCCCTCGCGTGTGAGCTTCACATTTACATACAGCAAGCTGCTGTGGCAACATTATCGCTTTGAGTAAATTCTTTAATAATGTTGCATGTTTTACATTTTTTCCCGCAGAAGTTTTATAACCACGATGTTTCCACTGTTGACAAAACAAATGAACTGTAGCGTATGCATATTGGCTATCAGTATACACCGTTAATTTCTTATCTTTATGCAATTCACAAGCTCTTGTTAAAGCTACTAATTCTGCTGCTTGTGCAGATAAGTTACTTGGAAGTACTTTTGCTTCAATTGTTTTATCCACAGTGGTAACAGAGTATCCTACATGATTTTTCCCAAACTCATCTTTCCCTGCTGAGCCATCAACAAACACTGTAATTCCCCCAGAGAGTGGCACGTCCTTTATATCAGGTCTTGGACGGAAGTCTTTATATGCTTCTTGAACACAATCATGTGCAGTGCCATCTCCTTCTGTTGGAATTAGAGTAGATGGATTTACTGTATGACATCTTTCTACGGTCACATGTGATTGTGACAGCAGAAGTGTCATGCAGGAAAGGTGACGGGCTGGTGATAGGAATGTCATGCTTGTTTGCAAAAGTAGCATTGACACAGCATGTGGTACTTTCAAGGTCAATGGGTGAAACAGAACAACTTCAGCAGATGCCTGGACAGCTAATGCTGCAGCCAAAACCGCTTGGACACACACTGGAGTCGCTCTGGCCACCGGGTCAAGCTTCGAAGAGTAATAAGCAATTGGTCTTTGTTTTGACCCCCATTTTTGAGTCAACACTGATGTCATGAATCCATTTTTACAGTCAACTGTCTGTTCAAATGGCTTAGAGTAGTCCGGCAAAGCTAAAACTGTTGAGCTAGCTATAATTCCTTTAATTTTGCTAAAGGCTTTGACTGCTTCATTAGTCCAATGAATGTTTTCTTTAGGTGTCATTGGCTTTTCAAAAATTAAATTTTGTAATGGTCTTACTAATTCTGCATAATTAGCTACCCATTGCCGGCAATAATTACATAACCCCAAAAATGACATCATCTGTTTTTTAGTTTCGGGTCTAGGTGCCGCTAGAATAGAAGCTTTTCTTTCCCCATGGATTAACCTTCCATCTTTGGTTAATGTATGACCTAGGTATTTAACTTCTGTCTTCCACAACTGTATTTTATTTTTGCTGACCTTATTGCCAGTTTTAGCCAAGTGTTTCAGTAAAGCTATAGTATCTTTTTTACAGCTCTCAACTGTCTTAGACGCCACCAAAATGTCATCCACATAGCTCAAAATCTGGCTTCCCTCTGGTGGATTAAAATCAGCAAGACAATTTTTTATTGCATCAGAGAAAATAGTTGGGGATTCAGCGAACCCCTGGCTTAATCTTGTGAAAACATATCTTTCCCCTTCAAAGGTAAATGCAAACCAAAATTGACTGTCTTTATGCACTGGAATGGACCAAAATGCATTGCTGAGATCAATCACAGAGAAGATTTTAGCCTCTGGTCATAATTGATTAAGCAGTGTATGTGGATCTGGTACATTAGGTGCTCTTTGAATAACTGCTTCATTCACAGCTCGCAGATCTTGAACCATTCTCCAAGCTGCGGATGGAGGTGCCTTTTTAACTGGGAAAATTGGTGTGTTACAAGGGGAATCTGAGCATTTTTGAATTATTCCTTTTTTAATTAAATCCTGTATTACAGGTTTTATTCCTTCTACTGCATCAGGTTTTAAAGGATATTGTTTTATCCTGGGCCTGTACTCAGTTTTTGCTCTGATCTCCACTGGTAACATTCCCTTCATTAACCCAACATCTGTGGGTCCCTTTGACCACACCTCATCTGGAACTTGCTCAAGCTCCTCCTCCTCTTCCTGTGTTAGAGTCATTAGTCATGCAAGATCCTGGTCAGTCAGATGTACAGCTGGAGTACATACTACTGTCCAGTTTATCTTTTGTTTTCTCCAGCCAGTTGTTTTACTCCAGTATACTCCTACTTTTTTATCTTGCTCCCAATCTCTAATTGATTCCACTTGACCAACAAAGGCATTGTTATCCCTCCACTCTGCCTCTGGGTCTTTGGATATAGAGATATGTGGAATCTGCAAATCTCCCATGAGTTGTTTTACTGCATCTGCCACTCCTACAGTGCAGAAACTTGTTTTGTCTCTCCAGTAAATGTCTCTAATTTGAACTCTCTGCGGACCCAATTTTTTTACAAGCTTATCGTAAACTGGATCACCTCCTGGAGTTGTTTTAAATCTCAGAGTGACATGTAACTCATCATGTTGTTTGACAATGGCACTTGGATTTAATGCCTGTTTTGCCCTTTTTACAATTTCTTTCCCTGATTCTCGAGGGTCACTTGTCGGCATATCCAAAGTCCAACAATACAATACTGATCCCTCCGCTTCTAGGACATGGATATCAGTGTTGCTACAGCGCCTAGCTTCCA